AAGCTGCAAGGCTGTCAGCACCTACCTCTTCTTCTGCGGGCAGTCCGGATCCTGCAGGACCTCGACGTTCGCCGTGTACCACTTGGAGGTTCGGAAAGAGATGGAAACGGGCGGGTCGCTGCCTAGGATGGGGATAGTCGCTTCGGGGCCCTGGCCAAAGCTCTGAGGCTGCAAACATAGAGTTCGCACACTGAGATGGGCATGCACAGTTGTGTGATCCGCTGTCGCCAGATCAGTGCGTTGCACACATGAAGAGCAGTGCTCAGCGCTCCTTGGCTGTACTTGGAAGAGTTGTCGAGCTTGAAGCAAGCACGCAGCTAACGTTTGGCACGGACAATTGCCAGAAGCCGCTAGACTGCATCAATCCAAGCACCTTCTAGGGCTTCCGGCACGAATGCTGACCTTGCCAGGATCCACAGAAGGGCCAGGCAGCTCCTTGGCAGATGTCGCGTAAAAAGCCATCGTCGCCGCAGTCTCGAGGGTGGCAGTCTGCAGCAAGTCCAGGGGCGCCTGCATTTGCCAAAGAGCACACAATGAGGTCTCTAAGTTTCACACAAATTTCAATTGACCGGGCGAGTCACTGCTAGACACAGGCGCAACGTCACATCAACAGCATTCGCAACCTTCACATATACCATCGTGCTCCTGATGATTCCGAAGTGCTCATGTAGGCTAGCTCACCGCGATCGGCGGGCTGTCCGGCATTGGGTCGTCGATGGGGGAGAAAGCCGGGGGTTCGTGCAAAGGGGAGGCGTCACCGGTGAGCATGGCTACCATACCTCCCGCCGGGCCGGCCTGCACAGGTGCTTCTAGACCCAAGGCGCCAATCCCCTGCGTGCCAGCAAAACATGCATGATCAGAGGAGTCCCTGCAAAAGCTGTGTCACATGTGCTGCTCTGATTGCAAGCGTCGCTCACCGCATCAGCTCGACGCACTGCAGAAAAGCAGGTGGCTATTTTGAGTGGAGCAACGAAGATGGCAGTTCAACTTTGCAGAAGCTTTCAATGCACAGAATGGGCGCACCGGGGTCTCGAGCAACTGAGGCGCCACCCCGGAGAGCACGGCGGCAGCTTGGTACCCCGGGGAGAATGGCACGGCGACGAGAGGCGAGGGCGGCCTCTCCAA